AAGATCTCAAACTCTTTTTAAAATTTACAGTATTTTTATCTTTTAAAATGTGTTTTCAGAAGCAGGACCCCAGCCACCTTTCTCCTGAGACATAAACAACCCTGCAGACGAGGGTCGGGAGTCAGAGGCCCTGGCTGGAGTCCTGTGACCTGACACTTGGTCACTGTGTGATCATGAGGGGGGACACCGGGTGGGGCCACCGGAGATTAACTGCAATGACAGGTCTCTGAGCCCAGGGCACACGGTGCCTGTGAACTATTATCTGGACACCAGTGACGGGAAGAGCTGAATGGAATTCTCCCCCTTCCACTGGTCCCCGCAACCCAGGCTCTACATTTCCCAGACTTCCCTTGTGCACCTCCAGAGACCCCACAGGATCCCATACGAGGACATTTTAAAACCAGAGCAACTGTCAGTGTTCTCTGAGAGTGGTGAACCCCGCAACACCTTGGAAGTGGGTGCCATCTTCGCCCCTTTCCCAGAGGAAGACACGGAGTACTTCCAGAGACCCCACAGGATGCCATATGAGGACATTTTAAAACCAGAACAGCCGAAACCGGTTTGGCTCAGTGGATAGAGCGTCGGCTTGCGGACTGAAGGGTCCCGGGTTCGATTCCGGTCGGGGGCATATACCTGGGTTGCAGGCACATCCCCGGTGGGGGATGTGCAGGAGGCGGCTGATCGATGTTTCTCTCTCATAGATGTTTCTGACTCTCTATCTCTCTCCCTTCCTCTCTGTAAAAAATCAATAAAATATATTTTTAAAAAAATAAAAAATAAAACCAGAACAGCTGTCAGTGTTCTCTGAGTGTGGTGAACCCCGCGACACCTTCGAAGTGGGTGCCATCTTCACCCCTTTCCCAGAGGAAGACACGGAGGCTCAGAGAAGCACAGTGACTAGCCCAAGGTCACGGCCACAGGAAGCGGCGGAGGCAGGAATTGAACCCCAGATCCATGCACTCCAGAGTCGGTCCCTCACCACCACCCCACACCACCTTGCCCAAATGCACCGTCACCGCA